GGACTGTGCACACAGTGGATGAGGGCTTACCTGTTGGAAACAGCCATCACTTAATTTCTGGGGATAGAGGGACAGTGCACATTTCTGCACTGCTTATTTCAGAATTGGGACCATGGCTGACCTTAGTCAAATACAAAGCTGTTCAATGCAGTAAAAAAAAAACAAAACATAGGAAGAGGTCATTCTATTCATTCTATGCTGTCTACTTCAGCACACGACATTTGCTCTTCAGTTAATCAGTCACTGACTCCTTCTAGATGTCCTGCTTCTCTAGGTCAGTGCCAAGTGGTTTGGTTTGATTCTGCTGTAGTTAGACATTTACCCAATTCTGTATTCCCCAGTGGGAGAAATAATCAGACACCAGTACAGTCTGTAAGTCACCAAGTTCTCCTGCTGATAATTTCGTCATTTCTTTATCATCTGGCAGTGAACCCCTGCTATCAATCTGGCAGAACTGAAGCAGTGGTATTCTGCTTACAGTTTGTCACTCCGGTATTTTGTCTATATGCCCAATCCTACACAAGCAAGCCAAGGAATTTTGCTAACTCAGCTACAGCACTTATGCTTTGCAAAGCTCTGTAAACGCAAGTTCCCAGAGAAGAAATCCAAGAGCATGTTGTGGCAGGGAAAAATATGTTTTAAATACATTTAGTGAGAATTACTGAAACAGTTCATCAATCAAGTGACACACAAAAAGTAAGATCTTGTTTTAAATCATTCTTTGCTTTGGGTATAGTAAAAGGTTAGTACATGGCAGGAAATTAAAATCGTATTTTATTTTTCCACCTGCTTCTTTCTATTATACCTTGGCAAATGGTGTAGTCTTAGTAAATTCCATAACAGGCCCCAGGGCAGTGAGGGAGCAATAATGAAACATCATTATGTTTTCTGGGAGCAACTGCAAAAGCTGATTGTTAAGACTGGGGACTCACTTCAGCTACAGGTTACTGCATACTTATTTCAGCCTGCTGATAGCAGGAAAAACAACTAAGCTGAAAAATAGATAAACACTGATTTACTTCAGTTACTTCATGAATAAATTTCTGACAGTAAGTAATAGAAAATAAGACAAAAGCACTGGACTAATTTAGCAGAGGCTGAAGATTTCAACATGCAAATCATCATAGGTATTATTAGATTTAGATGATATAATTCACCTCTTAAGAGAAGAAAGAAAATATTTGATTAAAAAAACAACATTCTTCTGGTTAGATGCTGCACATTCACACAGGTGGTTCAACATAGTCTATTTATCGTCTCAAAGGTAGGGTTTTGCAGGCTTTGTTGGCAACACTAGAAAGTGAAAGCACCTGAAAAACATTATTGCCAGTGAAATGGGAAAAAAACCAACACATTTCAGCTAAATGAAGGAAACGCTGAGATGAAACACAATTTACTTACAACTCCTGCTACCACAGGACATTTACTTAGTAAGCTGTTTCTATCAGTGGATAAAGCCTTGCTAATGAGAACAGTATGGACATATATAGAGAGTGAGCATTCCCTCTTTGAAAGTAATTAATAAATAACCGGCTCATTTATAGGGATAAGCATAGTAGCACTAATTCTGTTAGAAGTGGGAGCCAATCATGGGATAATCTGTTGCTCAATTCAATCTGTTTAAAGCATTTTGTACTTTGTGCTTCAGGAGCAATTCCTCACATTTGAATACTTGGATCACACTCAAATGGAAAGCCTGCCTTGCAGACCCTTCTCCTATTGTTCTTGGATGTGCCTACTCAAAATCTTCACCTCACCCTTGCATAGCTTGCAAACACTGCTGCTTCTTCCAGCCCTGGTTGCATATTTTCCCCATGGCAAATACAATTGCCTAATAGGAGCAAACATTAAGAAAGTATTTAATGTATTACTTCTCCTCTAATAATAAATGCAACAGCTTAAAACTAAGTCAACTAAGTCAACTAACAACTGTCACCTGGAAGAGCTAGTTCTAAGCACCCAGTGTTTTGTGAGAGACTCCAGCAACATGCACAGTGCATTCTGAAATACGCTTTCAGGCAAGGCAGGGCCATGTTTTGTGGAAAGGTAAACTTGAACTCTTTTTCTTGAATCTTAAGAAAAGTATTATAACACCTGTACTACAAACTCGAATGTTTCCTCTTATGATGATTTCTAGATGGACGGATTATCACAGAGAGCTCTACATTCAGACTTAGGATGGTCTTCTGAAAAACAGTGCCCTTCCTCTAACACCTTCAAGTGCATGTAATGGAAATGAATGACATAGATCCGTCTCATAGGAAGCTCAGCACTGGACTGGACTGAGCATCCAGAGCAAACCTCACAACTCTTTCAGCAAGGCTGTGTCAAGGCCCCTAGGAAAATCCAGTGACAGCTGTCTTCAGTGAAGTGAAATAACTGCAGCACTTGAGCACTGTGAAAACTTGGAAACAGCCTTGGCAACCACAAACCCAGTAATTGAAGAATACACAGTCACAGCAAGCGGAGGGGATTAGTGTAAAATCTTTTTAAACAGACTCATAGTTTTTTTTGTGCCTCAAGTATTTTTTTGCTTGATGCAAAATAATTTTGTCCCAATTATTTGACAAGTATCACACATGTGAAAGTGCAAATGAAAAAAGAAGATCAGAGGAGGAAGAAATCGAGAAGAAAGAACTAATAGGAACCTAGCATTGCTGGGTATTTGATATTATTTATTGTAGTGGACTCCTTTAGAATTTCATATATTATGTGAGAGAAATAAACCTTTTTTATATGACTGGAAAGAAGACACAGAGAGCCACAAAAATGTGGAGCTTATTTTTTGCTATGACTTGTCTTGCTTTTATTTAGCCATCTATAAGTTACACCTGAAGAAGGGCCAGCGTCTCCTAGGTGTGAGCCATATCACATACTGAGAAATTGATCTTTGCAGGAGATTTGTGCTATGCTGAATTCCTGTCTTTGTAGAATGGACTTGGATGTCTGTCTTTTAGACAGAAACAGATGCTGACAGAATTAAAAAAAAAAAATCTGAGACCCTTTAGTCTAACTTGCATATTAACTTATACATCATTTTTTTCCTACATAAATGAAATCCTGATAATTACTCAAGCCATCTTCCCAGTGTTGTGCCTTACATTTTTATTCCTGCAGTTTTTAGATCATTGCTGTCCATTAACTCCTTAAATATCAGAGAGAATGTTAAAAACTATTACTTCTCTAAAAGGAAAAGAATGTTATGAAAACAAACTGTGGCTTTTTAGGACTTTTTGCAATTTCCTGAGGCTTTTTCTTGAACTGGGGAACATCAGGTCCTTTCTCTCCAGCAATTCGTGGGAACACTAGACTACGCGTGAGAGATTGGTTAGTTTAAGCATCCATTAGAAAGGGAGAGACAGATTAATACAATCATCTGGTTTCAAAATGTCTTTCGAAAGAGCGCTGCTGTCTCTAAAGTATACCCTGGATTTGAAGCAAGCATTGTCAGCCAGCGTTGACACAGATATGTTTGAAATGCCATCCACAAATGACTACAGTGACTGTATTAGAGGTTTGTTTACCACTGACTTGGGAGAATGATTTTCCTCACCTCTTCCTTTAAAAGGAATTCCACGTTCTATATGAGAAATGAAATAAGGCTGTTCGTTTTTTGTAGCTCTTTATATTTCCCATTTGCCCTTTCCTATGTCCTTTGCAGTCACCAGAGGACTGTGCCATCAGACTCAAGACAAGGGCTCGATAACCATGGGTAACGGTGGTAAGAATCGGTTGTCAGCCAAACAGATGTTTTGGCTACCAAGCAGTGCCTGCTTTTTTTAGCAACAGCAACGTAATACTGTTGTGTATTGGGATTGCAATTTGCTTTACCCAGATATTCAATGCCATGTTACACTGTTATACTGCCAACTATTCCACAATTTGAAATGGTACATTACAGTTTCTCTTGCACAGGTAAAACTTTGCATTGTTGTTTCCTGAATACCGCTGTGCTGATTTCAGGAACTTCTAATAGCTCAAGATCAGGCTAAATTAAAATCTCGTGCTCTGGAACACATAAGTTCCCTTCTCACTGTGACATGGTTTTAAAATTTTCTAAATGCACTGTATATTCTGTTATTCTAATAATTAAGGAAAACTTTTAAGCAGATGCTGCTCAGAAAAACTCCCACGTGATCCAGATGGTGTGATTTCTCTTTTTCACAGCAAACTATTGAGAAATATGTTTTCTTCCATTTTTGCACTCATAATAGGTTCACTTTCCAAAGCTTCACTGGCTTGTTTATGCTCAGTTGTGCAAAGTCATGCTATAGCACATCTACTGCTTCCTTATTCAGAAGGTCATTTATTCTCTCAAAAAATGAAATTAAATTAATGTGGTATGATCTTAATCTTGACAAAAATGTGGACTGCTTATTATCTTGCTATTGGCCAGATGCTTTAAGACAGATTGAATAGCAAGAGTTCAAACAAATCAGACACCAGCTGGGTATTTGAAGCTCGGCAAATCTATAATTATGGTCTTTTTTTTTTTTTTTTTTTTTTCTTTTAAGAGGAGGGGACAAAAATGGAAGAATAAAATTGTTCTCCTTAAGCCCTTTGAGACCTCACTTGTTTTCCATGATCCATGAGTTCTCAGTGATAAACATTTAATGGTTCAGATTGTTTCAGCTATTTCCTTAAATACTCCAGGGTAAATTTCCTTACAGCTCACTCATTTGAATATACGTAGCCCAGCTGAACATGCACTTAACCTATTCTTTTCTTACTTTCCATAATCCAGTTTATTGCTGGTTTTAACTGTTCTAAGAATCTGTTAGAAATTAACCTTTTGCTGCGAAGACTTCAGCAAAGAAGCCAATGAAAAATTAATCTTTGTCTTTTTTAAATTTCCTCTTCTTCTCTCGGTAATTCTGACCTATCAAAGACAGGTCCAGCAGCATGCTCTAGACCACTGTCTGGATACATTACACTGGTTAGAGAATATATCATTAAACAGTTCCATTTTCGTTTCATGTTAATTAAACAGCTACACTGACCTGTGGTAAACTAGAGAAGTGCTTCTTCACGTGTTATCCAGCCACTCCTGCTCTTCAGCAAGGCATGAGAAAGCAGCACACAAAACCACTAGGGAAAAAAAAAAAAAAAAAAAAAAAGGTTCACTTTCAAGCAGACACAAAATTAGGGAAGTGAAATTTTAAAGTCAAGGTCCTACTTAGCTTTCTTCTTCATAAATTAAAATCTAATCATGATTGAGAAGATGGCCAGTGTATTTTTCAGGGGGAACTGATAATGAAACTTAGCATGCAGCTGGTTCTCTAGATGATCTCAGGCTAATCATTTACCTACAACCTCAAAGCACCAGCTTCCTCCAATCAGTGAAACAAATCTAGCTGGATTCTGATTGATTGCTACAAGGCATTTTAAGCTGTCTGCAGAAAAACCACTTCTAAAATACTACTTTTTGTATTGGATGGGTTAAGCATATTGTTGTAGAACCAGAGAGCTGAGAATAGTCTGAGTACAGCAACATGTTTTCTTTGGTAAAGGTGCAACTTGGACCTTAAGAATTTTTTTCTTTAAAACCACATTTGAAAGACATATAAAAATGCCTAATAAGACAAGCTGGATTCTTAATCCATTGTGCAATTATTCATTTCAAATTATAGCAGCAGTATTAAAATGCAGGTGGGGTAATTTCCAAGAAAATCAGAAGATATAATCGTATGTCAACATTCTGCAGCACTAACACACGCAAAATACCTATTGTGCTTGAGGAGGTCTGCTCCTAATGTGTGAGCATTGTGGAATAAGGTTTATTTCAAGTAAGAAGTTCTTTACCATGCAGCTGTCGAAGTGAAATTTTGTGTTCTGGACACCAAGCAGAATATAGCCACTGTCTGTGATTTAAGACTTAACAAGCATGCCAAGAATATATTAGCTTACTCTTGGCAGTGGGAATTGCATTTGTGTAACAACAAGCTTTAGAACCCTGTTAAGAAATGTTGTCTGATCTGTAACATGGGACTCGTTCATTTTGTTACTGTCATTTTACTGAAAAGAAAAAAAAATTGTTCACAGAATATTTTTCCAACAATCTGTAGGGTACTTTGGAATTTATACATTTATTTTTTTAATTAAACAACAACAAAACACATTGGGTAATAGTTCCATCCAGTACTTATTTAAGGCTTGTTTATAATGTAAAGGAGAATGTTTGCTGTGTCTCCTAGACATGGTGTGGTCCCTACACTATCTCACAATACGAATTGCACAAGTTTTTCAAAACCACTGCCTGAAAGTTAGGTTCTTAAATCTATATGCAAGTATTTAGAGTCAAGTTGCTCAGCACTACTGAATAGCAGACCTTGTGTTATTCATCTGACAATATAGAGTAAAGAAGGAGAAAGATCAAACAGCTGACAAGGATTGGCCAATGAGCTGAAATGCCCACCAGTAGTGTGAGGAACAAAAGTTTCAAGACCCTGCTCTGCTCTCCAGATGAGTACTATAACTTTCAGCGATGTATTTATGCAAAGAAGTAGTGGTCTGTCAGAAAACAACTGGAAGAGAAATGCTGCAATGGCTTAGCTACCTGCCAGAGCTGAGGAAAAGTGGATTCCAATATTGTAGCTCAAGAAAAATAAGCTTGAACCAGGGTTTTCACAAATGCCAAACAAATTTCTACATAGGGAAATATTTCTTGATACAGTCATGGAAGTTTTAAACAGTTTCATATTTGTCCCAGTACAGACTAGAAGCTTATTTTATGGATTACATTTATATTTGCTTTTGTAGAAATCCACCTTTGTTCTCTGCCCCACTGTGATCATTTTTTAAAATCTTGATCGTACACTCATGCTCAGCAGGAAAACTGCCTGTAAGTTCTCACTCAGTTTTCTTACAATTGGAGCTGTTGGAGACAAGGTTTGCTGCCTTATGGAATTGGCAAGATGCTCCTTCCTGAGATGCCTTAAGGCTGCCATTGACCTCAGGATAGCTGCAGAAGGCAGGAACAGCTGGGTCTGCATAGCTCTTGTCCCCTGGCACAATGGTTTCTGGGGAAGGAAATGCTATTATAATTTGTATCCTCAGACCCTTGGCCGCTAACCAAACTATCATAACTCTGAGCAAGACAGACACTCACGCCCAGCAAGGGCACAGGCCGGATGCAGGGAACAGGAACTGGGGACAATGGGAAGAATCTGGGGTGCAGCAGCAGCCACAAACTGTCCTCCAGTCTGCATCGAGAGTCAACGCCTTGCACAGTTACTTCTATATGAAAAGGTGCAAACTGAGAAGAACTGATAGACGTGCTCCATTGCACATGATCACCTCTCTCTCATCTGAGTAATGCCTAGAACTGAATTCTCATATTCCTACAAGTGGAAATTAGAAGATTCTTACTCTTAGAAGGAAATGTCACAGTCACTGAAAATCAGCTGGGCAGCCTAACCTGGAGTTGGCAGTGCTGGCAAAAGTCTCGTTTTGTGCTTATGGACCACAGATGCACTGCTTCTCAATCAATATTGTTACTGATTTTCCCTATTTTTAATGTCTAATTTCTTCTTCAATAAGCTTTACATTTACTCTTCTTAGCAAGTGTCTCCATTTTTAGGACAGGTATCCCCAGTGTTCCATTTGGGATGGAATCCTGTTCACTGTGAGTACTAACACACACAGACAGTACCCAAACTCCTCACACCTAACAGTATAGTGAGGAGTTCCACTTGTGAGTGATCTTAGTGTCTACAAAGAGTGGTGTTTGGTTTGGAAGGCATTGTACACAATACCAAAAAGCAACATGGATATGAAAGAATGCTTCTGGTAGAACTTGAGTTGAGGTTTGTTCAGTAAACCTACTGTGGCCCACTGGCACAGTATTTCTTCATTAATTACTGAAGAGTGAGTGGTAATGTCAAGGAGCTAAAACTCATTATTGTATTTAATTCTCTGGAGACCAACTTTACAGGAGGTTCTGGTTTGAAGATCACTGGGACTGGCAGAAGCACTTCTGTGAAAAGAAACAAATTAGAACTGAGTAGAGACAGGAACATTTAAGCAAGTTTTATACCTGAAGTTCTTTTGCCTTGCTTCATCTCCTTTGCAAGCATCCAATGCTCAGGAGGGCTGATCTGGATGAAAATGAAAAATGGAATGGGAGATGAGGAAACATCCAAAGGAGGAGGCTGAGGGTGTGATGATACTAGTGAACTGAACATGCCCAGCTCCTAAGCATTCAGATCAACTGGCACAGAACAACCCATGTCCATTCTACTAAACTTCAATTCTTGTCTGATTGAGAGCTGTCAGAATCATTTATGTCATCTATAACATGTTTTTTCATATAATGTATGATTTTTCTCTAAACAAGAACAACTACCACATTCTAGGCTTGATCAGAGTTTTGGAGATTTTTCCCTGGATTCAGGAGGTTTTGGACCAAACTATGCAACTTGGTTACTTATGTTTCAGGCTTCCTATTAGTTAACGTATACTGTTTTACTATGTACAAACCGAAATGCAGTGAGAGAACATCTGTGAAAGATCACCAATAGACATTGGAAGTGGATACTTTAAAGCCTGTTTTCTCCTTCCCTGTAATATATGTATTAAGTTGTATAATCTCCAGTAATGACAATTTATTGTGGCTGTGGAAGGTAGAAATACACTACACTTACATGACACCTTGCAAGTAAGTGCCTCACAATCTTCCACAGAGAGGAAAGTAAAGGTTATGTTTATGGGGATCAGCAAATAGTTTACATGAGAAAGCATTCACTTCACGAGTATAGGATTTTTATTGCTGGGTGCCAACCTAGACTATCCAAATAACTGCTACATACCACCTTTGCACCTCTGTATTGTTTTCAAAATCCATATTTGAGTATGATTTCATCCAGTGCAGTTTCATTCTGGTATAATGCCATTGCCTTTAACAACATTATACCAGCTTTGAATTATAATTGCAAGCAGACTCTGGACCTTTACAATTATAATTGCAGTTATCACTCTTCATAGAGTTTACACTGCAATGAAAGTAGAGAACTCCCTGTGACTAAATTCTCCATCATCCTCTTAAATTTGCATTTTTCTCAGTAGCAGATGCACAATCAAGATGAGATTCACTTAATAGCCTTTTAATGTGTTTGAATTGAATAATTTTTAACCATTTCTAATAGTCACTTGCAGTATCTTTTACCATTGGGCTGCAAGTGTAGGCTTAAAAATAACACTCAGGAAATCTTATTCCATAAATTGATCCTGCGAAGGAAAAGCACCTTGAAAATCCAGTGCTCCTTGAAGGCTGGCTTTATTATTCTTGTTACCATTTTATTACAAAAAATCGTATACTACAAATACTTAATATTTGTACCTCAACATGGATATGCAAAAAGTCTGAGTCTGGAATTAAAGAGATGGATGCAGAAATGTTTGTGTAACGTGACATCTTGCTTGTAAGAGCACAGCTACTGTAGGTTTGACTGACTGTCAGTCTGAAATTAATCCAGTGAAAATGTGGTAAAAATGTGAAGTCTAAAGAACAATGAAATATAAAAGACATGGAGAAATGTTCAGCTAAGTATCTATTGCATCTTTTGTTTAAAGTTCAAGTAAGAAATCGTAAGAATAATTGGAATTCAGACACACCTACCTAGACTATTCTTTGCACTTTTATTCTATTTCAAGGATGAACAGTGAGGGATTTTGTGAGACAATTTTCTCTCTAAAAGAACCTTGCTGTGCAGATGGGTCAAAATTTGGAATTTTGAATTCCAATAGTTTTGAATTTCTGTGACTGTCAGCACAAATGTTTGGAACATTAAGTGTAGATCAGCTCTCATGGATGTAGGTCCAGGTCATACACCTAAAAAAAAAGGATATAGAGGAATCAAATTCTCATAAGAATAGCCAATTTGTGGAAATTCATTGAACAGTCCATACTATTATTTTGTTATCAAATGCAGGCCAAAATCTTTCTTTTTTTTTTGGGTCTAGAATCCAAACCTTGCCCTTGCTATGAGAGCAACTTCCTCCACTCTGCAGTAATTTTTTATTTAATATAATGGGAAGAAGAGAGATCTCCCTTGCCAGTAAGCAGATGTCCACCAAAACGTTTTTACTAACTGATCAGTTGCAAAATCCCTCACTGCAATCCCTTATAAAATAAGATGCCCTATGTCCTTCCTCCCACCCCAAGCGTAGTTGCCAAAACTTACATACAAAATTATTACTGTAATGTTTTATAGTTACTGGGAAAAAAAATATCCATTTGGTCTTGCAGAATGATGTGAAATGAATCTCTGGCCTCAAAAAAAAAAAAAAAAAAAAAATCTATTAAAAGTAGCTCTTTTTTCCTCCCTCCTCCCTCTCCCAGGCCCCTTTTGCTCCCCTCCCCCAACAATAAAGGATGTTTTGGAACAGCCTTTTCAGGAAACATTTCCACAGTAAAATGCAGCATCATTTATAATATTTAAAGCTACATTTTTGTTGAGATGGCTTGGCAGGCTTTGCTTGCAAATCTGGCAGGATATGGCCAGCTGAGAGTTAGCACTAACAAACTGAGGATATGCTGACACAACAGAATGCTTTAATCATCATTGCAGCAAGCAGGACAAGATCTTCTCCTGCACTGCCAGCTCTTCCCAGTGTGAGAACCAATGGTACTGCGTGTTTCTCCTTCCCTCCCCTGCCTCTAGAGAGTACAGTTTTCCCTTGCTGTTTCTACTGAACTAAAAAAACCTTGTTGGGTAAGAGCATATAATATAATGAGCAATGGATATTCCTCTTGGCCAATGCTGTTATGAAAATACTGGACGTTTCCAGCACAATAAGGAAGCTTAATAATTAAAAAGAAAGCCCTTAAACCATTTAAAAGGGCTATATTCATTTGCAGCTAAGGCTTTTCTGCTTATCATGCATGCCCATTTCTAAAACAGAGCTGAAAGTGATACTCAGTTAGCAACATCATAATCAGATCCTTGCCCCTTTCCAGAGTTGAAAACTGTCAACCAGAGTTGAAAAGTAAATCAGTCTCATATTTAAAAGAAGTCCCAGTCAATTCAACCCTGAAGATCTAAAGTTACTGCTTTGAAAGAGGCTTGAATGATAGGGAGGGCCCAGAGAACTCCTGCTGAATGATCTGTGTGAGTTTCAGGGCAGAGACTATGTTCTAGCATTAACCTAGCACAGGATTTGACTCAACAAAGGCCTGTGTCATGAAAGAGAGTGTGAAATGAAGTAACCATTCATATTTTGGAAGCCTATCAAAGTATAGACTCTGCTGTCTTTGTTTAACTTCTTGCTAGTACAAAGTCTCAATGCAATTGGCTGCTGCAAAGTGTGAATGTAGATATCTGTAAGAGGCAGCCTAAGCAACTGGACTGAGTACAGATCTGAATGTTGTTTCTCATCTGTGGATCTGGAATAAGACAGAATAAAATTTCCCTGCTGCTTCCTTAATTTGCTTTCCTTTTCTTGGTGTGCAATCAACTTGAAACGGTGCTGGTCTCTGCAAGGCCAAGTGTAGCAGGGCTCTCTACCTCATTTAGGAACTTCAGGTGCCTTGCATACCAACAAGTATGATTCAGGTCTCTTTCAAAGATAACATGCTGCATGTAGTGGTATCTTCGCAAGTGTGCAGCTTTTATATAAAACAGTAAGGTCCAAATAGTAGGGTTCCATCAGCAGGGATCCACTGTACAGTCTTTGAAAAAGACTGCCTGTTTCACCAAATCTGCCAGGTCTGATTAATGAGCAGTGAAATGACACTGTCTCCATCCATATCCTGAGCTGTTGTTGCTGATACCAGTTTCCAGCTCTAAACTGAGATTTGAGCAAATATATAGCAAACAAGATCTCCCAGAAATCTCAGCAGAAATGCATTTGAATTTATATGGCTTTGAAAGTATGTGACAGAAGAGGACTGGTGAAATAGAGGGTTAGATAATGAAAGATTGAGCAGAAGTAAAAATATTTACATCTAAATAGTTTTTTTATACTGGAAAATAGGTGGTATAGATGTTGAGGCAACTCATAGAGCGTACAAGCAAAAATGTAAGAAGTAGGAATTTATTTCTGTCTGAAATTCTTCCACTCACAGGTTACTAACTACTAGTAATTAATGGTTGCTGGTTAGGAGCTGTACTATGCATGCATGTTATGTATATATGTCCTTGCTTATGTACAGACACACATATATGACAAGATAATCATATTGCAAATGAAGTCTCGAAATCTTTCCCTAACTGTGACTTTCTTCTTTTCTTGGGTCAGTCAGTGGCTACTGATTTTCTTCTGAAAGCTAGCGAGCAACACTATTATGTGCTGCTTCTCCATTCTGATTTTGTATCTACATCTGACATATGAAAATGAATAATCAGAAACTCAGAAATTGGTTTTGTTACAATTACCAACTCATTGAGAGCTAGTTAGTGCTGATGAAAGGATATTGCTGTATTTATGTAATTGGAGACATACTTATGTAGCTGATTTTTAAACACCATGGGCAAGGAAGTTGGAATGGGATTTAAGACCAGGCATGTAATTTCTTCCCATGCTTGAAAGAGAAGCTGAAACACTTGACAGGTGTATGACTGAGCTGCTGATTCAGGAGGCTGTAGCTTTTTTTTTTTTTTGCCATCATTTATATTTTCTTCCTTCTATAAATCTCAAGCTGCAGCTTTGTATTGCTTTGTTTACAAAGTTGATGTTACCTTCATTTAAGTCAGAGATATTATATATCATTGAAAAGGAAAAAGTCCCATTAAAATGTACTCCAGGACAGAGTTCACAATTGCAAATCAAATATTGAATCCTGATCCCTCAAGGCTTAACTGTACCAATGGTGAACTGAGAATAAGAGCGTGCACACTGAAGTGAAAGGGCAGGGCGGGCCTATCAAAACTTCTGAAGTTTTGTAACACAAGTCATGACAACAGTTACAGGAAGTCCATTTTCTAGGCTTCAGTATTTTAGACTACGGAAGGGCTGCATACCATAGGAAAAGACTGTGTTACATACGTACAACTCACTGCCTCCTTTTATGCAGTACTGAAAAGCTGAGACCTCAACAAATCGTAGGGCTGGACAATCACCAATTGCGTGAAGTTTAACAAGACGAAATACAGGCTTCGGCACCTGGCATGGGGCAACCCTGGCTATGTACAGACTGTGGGATGAGAGGCTGGAGAGCAGCCCCATGGAAAGGGATCTGGGGGGTTCTGGTTGATGGCAAGTTGAACCTAGTCAGCACAGTGCCCTGGAGTGCATGAGGCCTAGCACTGACAGCCGAGCAATAGAAGGCACTGTCCCACTTATGGCTCTGTGCTGGCACAGCCCAACCTCAAGCACAGTGCTCAGGTTTGGGCACCATAGTATAAAGACATAAAACTGTTGGAGATTGTCCCAAGTAGGGCTGTGAAAATGATGAAAGGTCTGGAGGGCAAGATGTATGTGGATGTATGGCTGAGGCTGCTTTAGAGAAGATAGAGGGGAGGTGGACATGGCAGCCTACAGCTCCTCACAGGGAGCAAAGTGACAGTGCTGAGCTCTGCTCTGGTGACAGTGACAGGACCTGAGGGAAAATCACAGGGCTGTGTCAGGAGAGGGTCAGGAGGGTGTTAGGAAAAGGTTCTGCACCAAAGGGTTCCATGCCCTGTTCCTGGGCATGGAACAGGCTCCGTGGGGCAATGGGCACAGCTCCAAGCTGCTGGAGTTCAAGGAGCATTTGGACACCACACGCAGATACAGGGTTTGGATTTTGGGTGGTGCTCTGTGGAGCTGGGAGTTGGACTTGGTGTTCCTTGTGGATCCCTTCCACCTTAGGAGAGTCTACAATTCCATTATTTTTCACTGATGTTATGGAAGCAGTGATTAAAATGGTCTCAACTGCTTTGGCTATAATGATGGTCTTGCTAGAAATGTATTTGTCTCAGTTAAACTTTCATTTTAAGACATTTATAAAAATATTGTCTAGAGAAATGGTCACCAGTGAACACTGTCTGAAGAAGTTGCTGTTTCCTATTAAATAAAGAACTTCTTGCTTCTGCAAGAAACACTTCATTGACTAGTTGATGTTTGACATAGTGAGGGACGCAGGAAGACAGCTGCTGGATACATGCAGGTATACTCAATGACTTTCTCTGCACATGATTTGCCTTGAGCTTTTTCTCTACTGCCAGTAGCAGAGCAGTGTAAAATGCAAGGCAGAACAACAGCTCAGAAGGTTCAAAGCCTGTGGAAATGTACCTCACCCAGCACATCATCTCCAAGATGTTAAATATACTGAATAGATGACTAAGGAAGAACAGTAAAACATAGGCGAAGTGAAGTTATTCAAAGTAAGGCGTAACCAGCTGACTGTTTCTATTTTTGAGTTGCTAAACATTAATAGTAGCACTGAAGATCAAAAACCAAATAGTTCGTTCATGGCATGGCCCATACCACCCAAAGCTCCAGAGTCTGAAAATATTACAACCTACTTTTAAACTCCCATTACCAAGTTGTTTTTTTTTTTTTTTTTTTTTTTTTTTTGTTTTTTAATAAATAAAATCCCATAGAAACAATAAGTATTTACAATTAGATCAAAATTCTGAACATAATTCACAAGAGAAAACACTGTTTTTTGAGAAAATGTTTTCATATCCTCATAACAGTCATTTGTTCTAAATTAGTACGCAGCAATTGTCCATTAAATGAACATTTTTCCCTTAAGACCTATTCTTGTAGAAAAGTATTTTAGGCAAAACTTCCTAACCATGATGTAACCGTTTAGAATTAGAACATTTCTGTGATTAGTAATTCACATAAAAATTAATATTTTCCATGGCTTTAGGAAAACATGATAAATAATTATCAAAATGTAAGAGAAGCCAGGATGTAGGGAGAACGATATATTTTATTAAAGCAGCTTATACAGTTGAATTAAAAGTATAGGCTTTTTGGGCACTCAGTCCCCCCATAATAATAAAGGATAACACCTGTTCCTGCAAATGTGTATTGTCTTTTATCCTTAGAGCATTATGACAACTATTACATTACCACTCTCAAAATATATGCATTGTATATGTCTGCGTTAGACTGAAATCCTCAAGAAGTGCAACTGCTAAACTGTTACTCACAAAAATATTACCACTTGCAATGAAGTAGAATGATATTCTCTGAGTTACTGAGCTTCTTACTTACAGAGAAATTCTTACTGTAACAAAGTCATTAATTTAATTTCATTTTCAATGCATCTTTTCCACTGTCCTTTTCAAATAACGTTTAATAATACTCATGTAAGAATATGCCTCAGCATTCCCTTTTATTTAAAACTAATTTTGGTATCTCATTTCTAGTGATTCCAATGTGAAATTGGATTTTGTGGGAAATGCAGTCTCAGCTTAATATTTTTTACAGTATATTACTATTATAGGAATTCGGTATTAGAACTGTGGTCTATCTTGGTACCAGTTAGTCTTTGGTATGTCCTCCTAGAGGAGGGGATGAACTCTGCAATTAAACGGAGGTTTTCCAATAAGTGGTAGGTGGCAAAACTTCAAGTGGCCAGTGTCCAGCTGAAAGTGAGTTCCTGAGAGAACAACTTCTTTTGAATGGTAACAGCCACAAATCAGTGTGTGTGCAATCCCTGTCAGAATCTAATGCTCAGTTCGCGCAATGGGCCTAAATCTAAAGTGCAGGAAAACATGCAATTTGAGCCTTAACTCACAACACACCATTTGTTTTAGGGCAATTTTTCTAAGTTACCTGAAACTTAGTGAAGATCAAAGCTGTTTAGCCTCACACTGACTTCATCTCACTGAAATCTCATCTGTGGATTTTTAACCTCGAGGCTGAATGATCCAATTCTCCAATCACTTCCTGGTAGGCATAATGCTTACTACTGACCATAGGCCCAGAGGTTGCCTGAAATAAGTAGTAGGAAATATTTATGTAAGGCATAAGCGTAAAGATTTATTTTAATATTTAATTCTGACAGCCTCTTTTTGTACCAACTAAGATTTCCAAGGGCCGCGTTGGTAGGAAGGCCAATTTAGAGTCGCTGAAAATTGTGCCTTCTCATCTATTCCAAATTCTACTCCTTTTTGGTCTGCTTACATATCACCACTAGAAATATCTAAGTTTAAGGCACACTTTTTGCTAAATAAAGAAAACTTGGTCACTGTGTGGAAACTAAGGGTATTCAATAAAGGACCACTCCTTGCTTCAAAGATATGTGTTACAGTTAGTGGCTTTTTTTTCTTTCCAAAATTCTGTTCTTGAGCACATCACTGTGGATCGTACTTGCTTTAGTTTCTCAAATAATTCACAAACAGTAAATGTGGCCACAATACATGTGAATACATGTGAATCTAAGGTAATCTCACAGTTGTATTGAGAATACTAGAAGATAATGTAACTAAATTTACCTTTTAACAAATTTTTGCATTCTCCTATGCTTTGCTCCCTGTGGAAATCTTGTTTGACACTATAGTGCAAAGCATAAAATAAAATTAGCAATCTTAAAGCATTGAACCTCTCAAAAGCATTCTCATTCCCAGTGATAAATAATGATATCTCAAGTCAAACTAATGTACTAGGGTTTCCATTACAGGTTTGTGCTTCCAAGAATGAATTCAAATCTTGCTTTTATTTAAGAGGAGTCATCCTATCCCAATTTTCCATAGCATTTTGACTGAATATATTTTTCAAATAACTTTGGTATTATGTGAATCGATTCCAACAACAGACTTCCCAGAGCAGCTGAAGGCTGCATTAGCACTATCTGGTGTGGCATGTGCATCGCAGATCATGGCAGAGAGGCAGCTGCACTGCATCTCCACACAGACTGCTTCACCACTTGTCTTGGAACTGTATGAGCAGAGCAACTGACAAGGCTGCTTCCTAAGAGTGATGGACAATGCATATTCCTCAATTAATGCTTGAAATGGAGTCAAGTTTTTGAGTTTGTCCATAAATGATGGGCCTAATTCATACTTATACCAAGTCCTCGTTACAGAAGTCTATCAGTGTAAAAATATACAATGGTAGGAACAAGTACTAGACCTGACATGTCTAATTTTACCTTCTGAGTTCTTGTGTGAAGTTACGCTAATCCATGATTCAACTTCATTGTCACTTTGCCACTGCCTTGGGAACACAGAATCAAACATAATACTTAAAATGTTTCCCTAGAAATGTTTAAGGAGAAAGATTTTTATTTTTAAGTTGAAAATTTAACTTCATGCTTAACCAACCATAGTGAAGCAAGCACCAATCATACTTGTCAAGCAATTTTAAGAAATAAGATAGTTAAAAAAATTAATTCTGAAAATACTGCCAACAATTTCATGATATAGATATTTTTAATATTAAAAGTAAATTGTAAATGTGTCTTTATAAACAATATGCATAAAATAGATCTACTATACTAAGCTCTCTCTTCTTTAAATGCTGTTTCACAGTAATTTCTTAAGTATGCAAAGTTTTCTCTCAAAGAAATAGTGCAATCTGAAGAACATACATTATGTCAGAGGATAAGAACTACTATTGCCATTAATATAAGTCTTTATAGATTTCTTGTAGGAGTGGATGAAGACTCATATCTGTTTCCGTTTTCTTTATTATTTGCAACAGCTGCACGTGTTCCGTTACTATTTGCCTGAGGTCTGTCATTTTCTGAAGCAATTTTGCAAACAGTTGTGATGACTCTGGATGATTCAGCTTTAGCTGGAGCTCCAAAGCTTGCAACAGATTATCTTGTATATCTTCAATGGGCTTCACATTTAACAAACCTGGGCGATCTAGGGAAAAAAGGAGGGAGGAGGGGGTTATTTCTATAAAGAAAATGGTAACAACAATCTAATGTAGTAATCTTTTAGTCTATATTAAGTGTTTACATATGGCATTTACTGACAATTGACAAACTCTTAATGTACTTATTTTAAGATTTTACTAGAATCTGCTACAAGAAGTTTTAGAATTAGTCTTAGAAACAGCTCAAGCATATAAGATAGACTTATACAGTACTGCAATGCATTTTTCACAGTAATCTTGGAAACAAACCGTGAATTGGAAGATAAAAAGCCTGTACTAAGTAATCCAGCTTCAGAAAATCAACATATACTCAGTGAATTTGCATGCAATTACTACCATTAAAAATATTTCCTGTGAAGATGCACGCTAAACTATCAGATGAAAAAAGAAATAAATTCAGCTTCTGAGAGAGACACTGTCCATGACAGAGTACAGAACTAGACTGATGCAGTCACACTAATCGGAGAGATCTAAAAAATTCAGGCTCGGTTCTTCCCCACGTCTGAGTTCCAGTTGCTGTTAAGAAATGTCATGATAGCTTTTAGCATCAGCTTAGCCACATATGCTTATAGCAGTAAGAACTGATAGATGTGGCTTGCAGAGAAAATACCTTTTCTGGGCTCCAGCCAACAGAAACTTATCCTCCATAAGGAGGAACCTGGTATGGATGTTTACAACAAAAATCAGCATGCCTGCAATGGCTGCAAGACTCCGGATTATCTTCGGTATATTTTATTATTTAAAAAGAAGTAAAACTTTCCTCATTGGTCATCATTATTATCTTGCATAATGACACTTGTTCTCTTATTTCTGTCTGCCTCCCTCCAACCATCATTAAGAGGTTTCCATTATTTAACATAATCCTTTTTCTTTTTTTTTTCCCCTCTAACTTGTATAAAGTTAATAAAGTATTTAATTCTACAGTCATGAAAACAAATTGAGTTGCTGAACATAATTAAATCCTCACATATGGCAATCCTCACATCTACTGGGTAAGCATCCCAATTATTAGAATACTCTGCAAAAAAAAAAAAAAAAAGTCAATAATTTCAATAACATTTTCTGTGTAGCCATGGAATTAATTTCAGATTGATCCATAACAAATAATGGCTATTGCTGGCCTTGAGTTACTTTTCCAAAGGAAATACTTCCCTTTCAGAATGGGCATTTGATCTATATTTTGAAATTCTCAAACATGATCTTAGTAACCTTTCTGTGCATGCAATTCTACCTCTAGCTGCAATTGTGTTGTGTATTAGAAAAAAAAGGCTGGGGAAAAACATCTTTGTAAATAATTTAAGATCTTACTTAAATCAGAAAAAAAAAAGAAACCACAGTGTAAATTAAAAGGCAGAGCTGGCATGGAAACAAATGAATATACAAAAGTCATGAATACTGCACTGATTAAGAACATGCAGCTAACGCTCAAAAAAGCAAGGTTTGGGAATTGTATTTCAGAAGTAGGAATAACAGCAAGTTTGATATTTATTTGACTGTGGTTTTATGATGCAATAGCCTTCTGTTTTAAGTGATCTTCCCCTTTGGAACTTCATGCTAATAAGCTGTTTGTGTCTTCCAGAGATCACTTATTTATACCATTCAACTGGTAACACCTTAAAATACGGTTCAGAAAATTTGTAAGTAAATACAGAACCACAGAATCATAAAAGCATTTTTTGTTGGAAATATCAGCAAGCAGGAAACCATCTCCAGCAAACAGTTCTTTTCTGACAATACTGATAAATGAAATTAATAAGGCATTTTTAAAAAATACTTAAGAGATTTTTTTTTGAAAATTACAAATATTTATTTTTAAGATTGCATGTGCTGCAAAAAAAACCTAGTTGCTTTCTTTGGATCTTTCAGAAAATTCCAAGCTTGGAATAGTTCAAAGCTGTTTGATAATTTTAGCTTTGAGTTGCAATAGCTTTATATTTTACTTACATCTTGCAGATCAACTCTGAACTGGCTGAATATGACTCAGCGTTCAGTGATACAAAAATCAAGACGCAAAAAGACTGTGGCCTCAATTTCCTCTGAGATTATTCTTTTTGCCCCCTTCTTCTTTTGTAGTGGGAATTTTTAGATTGTGAGTATTTCAGAAGTGAAATTCACTTCAAACACCATGCTCTTTAGCGAGAATCTCAGAGTCCAGGAAGGGAACACAGGAGATCAGTGCTGAGACTGGAACTTAAAAATGTCCCTGGTAAACTGGAGTTCAGGGAGATTTAAGCACCTAACTTCCTTAAGTTCTTTAAAAAAATAAAAAACAGAAAAATGGTTTTGTAATAACTGAATTGAACCATGGTCAGAAAAGGTGACTACAACAAAAGCTTAGGAGACCATAAGAAGTTATTTTTAAATAGGCCGATTCAGTAGGAAGGAAAATTTCCATTGAAGACAAGTGAGATTTTTTTCATGAATGAGAACTTCAGGATACAGACATTATTTTTGGGTGTTGACAGTTTGCCATACTTTCTCAGTACAAATTTCTTACAGAGGAAAATGCTGTTTCTGTTCCAAGATACATATATAAATACGAAAGAAAAAGGAACTAAGAGACAAAAGGCTTTATTTCAAGATGTTATTGAATACTTCAAGTTGTTCAGATGCTTTTAGTTAATATGTTCTAGAATCACTGGCTTACATTAAGAAAAATGTATTTTGTGCAGGACAGAGAACACAAATGCAAGAAACTACAGGTAAGTGTGCCTTGTGGAAAAAAATACAAAGGAAATGATTAACAGTGAGCCCTGAAAAACAGCTAGATTGGAGTAGACAGAAACAGAAATGGGAAGAAACTAGATGAGACAGGGTGGTGGAGGCCTTTGGAGAGGCCAAGACAGAATCTAATATGCTGTATGAAAGCTCACAGGGAAGACTGCAACGTGAATCAATGAGGGATGTGGAAGACAAAGACAAACGAGTTGTAGCAGGACATTCTTATGATAAAATGAAATTAAGTTAAAGAATGCCAAAGGACAAGGACTTGAAATGATTACAGTGAGAGAGGATGGCCAACTGGAAACTACTTTTAAGCCTATCTGATAAAGAAGATTGTTTGTTAAAGTTCAGAGTATTTTCACTGTCTGCTACTTGCTACATATCTTTAATCCATTCAGAGTACCACACCTCATTTCTTCTTATTACTTTTCTTTATCCAGTTTTTTTGTTAGGTTTTAATTCATTGTCATCTTGATATTTCATTGAAAATTCTGCAGGAAACTGTTTAAAACTAAGAAAAATGTTCACAGTGGCTGGGGAAGAGTGATAATCCTTTAGTTTTGTTTCAGCAGTGTGACTCTGTGTAAACTTACGCCCTATACTATCTCAGGGAAAAAGATTTTATTTTCTTATACATGCTTCTTTCGTGTTCCTAACATCAACAGCAATTTTTTCTACTCCTCACATAGGAAAATTCAATCTGCATGCTTGTGTCCATACCTTCATATCTTACTATCTTTGACAAAGTGTGTTTTGCACACAAATATACATTCTCAAAACTTAATACAATAAAGCAGGCAAAGATATTTGACTGAATAACTGTACTACTGCTTTTGCTGAGGCACATAGGATTCAGCAGATTGAGTTTTTCTTCTGAGACTGTCACATATATTGGAGTCACCAGAATCTTGGTTCAAAGCCCACAGTGATTATCTGCAGTTCTTGGTTTGATTAGGAAGCAGTTTTTTTATTGTAACGGGTGTGCTAAGCAGGATCTCTGTGGGAGTCAAATATGGACAATTTCTTGGTTCTATTCTGTGAAAAATCTTCAATTTTTTTTTTTATTTTTTACCTCAGCTTGTAGGAAAATTATTGAATACAGTGGTTAAACAACCAGCTTAAACACAGCTCAAGTATGAAAGAAAAGTGCTCAGAGACCAATAAAAGTGAACATAGCAATCTTTTTGAATGCAAATATTAGCCTGTGAGTTGACTAACAGTGTTTGCTACTTTACAGGTGTGCCCTACCAGAGCTGTCCACCACCACTATATCCTAAACACTGTGTAGAATAATTTACAGGAGATTAGGACTATCCACAATACATTAACATGCTATAAAATTACCTTTTGAGCTTTTTCTTTATTTGACAACAAGTGCTCTGAATCAGTTTTCTCTGTTTATAAACACGGATTAAACCCAAGAAGGCTTGGACTATTACCAAACAGATATTAACAGATATTCAACTTCTTAAACCTTCTTATTATGCTATAATTCATTTTGAGCTCTCTAACACAGAGTATTTTTTAAGATGCTTTAACATATTCACCAAGGCGCTCAGCACTCACTGAGGAAACGCCTCACTGGCACAGAGTTATGCAATGGGGAAGAAGAAGGTCGCCTTGAAAAGAAGAGACTTTATTCTTTACATAAACACATTTTTCAAAGTTACTGTAAGTAAAAGAATGCCATAGTGAAATTTTATAATTGTTGTTAGTGGCATAAAGTATTTCCTTCATAAGAACAAGGTAATATCTTACAGTTCAGAGTATCTCTGTTTCATCAGTATTAAATTCAGAATACTAGAATTTGTTTGCCATGTATAGCATTTTAAAGCAAAATACACAGACATTAGGAACAATTTTCAGCTTTATAACAATGAGCTCACAGTAACATCTGGAATCACTGAGACAAACTGTGGCTGCACTGAGCATCTCAGAAACAATAAAATGACTGTGGGAGTACTTTCATTTTGTTGCTATTACAGCTAATTTGTCAGTTTCCTGTTACTGTCACATATAATGTAAAGTCAACTATTTTGATATCAAAAGGTTGAACGGTTTTATAAGATTTGTGGCACACTTTTTTATGTGTGATTTTCCATCTGGAATGATCTTTCTCTTCCCTCTTCTCTTTACAGCTGCATAGGAGATAGCACTCAGGTAGACAGCAGCACTAACATTAGTTTGGTACAACAAATTTACTGAGAGGATTCAGCCAAGATCATTTTTTTGTCTCACATATTTTGTAGGATATCTTTATATGATACCTATACACTGGATTTTGTGAAGTAACTGAAACATCACAGTATTCCTGGAGCTACTGAAGTCTTTGACGTACTATGTACTGGTTTTCAGATACTGTTCTCAATGAAATGGTTCTGGTTAATAATCAGAAAGTTCTTACAGAAATTCTTACAGAATCAAGAGAATCTAAGACATCTGAGAAATAGGTTTCCTGTTGTATATCACAGAATACATACAGTTCAATATATGTAGTATCTAATTCTAAACTACACGATAAAACTGTTCTCTAACTGTTGGCAAATCTTAATCATTTTCAAAATAGAATCTCAGTTTACATAAATAACTATAATTGTTTTTCAAAAAGAAAAGTTTTGAACAAAGATTGTAAGAAATCTTATATAAAATAATGTATTTTTCTAAGGAGAGCAAATTCACATTTAGGGACTGGATTTAAACGCTAAATAGTAACATTCAGGTAATTCTTTATGGATCTCTGTTTTCAAACTAGTCTTAAAATAACAAAGACTTGTTGAGAAATCTGATTCAGAGCACTCAATTATTGTTTTTCTGTGGATCATTGTTCTCCTGAGATCTAAAACGTATTATTAGTTACATCATACCTGTTTCCTCTAATGCAAACCAAACATCACTGAAGTATAGCAGACCTAGTTTCACAGATTGCAAGTTCCCTTTTTTCAATCAGGAGTGCATTTTGAGAGGCCTGTTTTTCATCTGTTAAATTTCACTATGTTAGAAAATGCAAAATACTGACATGCTTTGTGTTGTGCCCTAATAGGCTACTGTAATTTCTCCTCCCCCATCAAATGCAACCAAAAATATACTAGTAACATATTTTTCTGTACTGAATTAATTCAGAGTCATCAGGGATCACTGTGTTCAAAGGTTTGCTCAAGAAAACATTTTCTGGGAACTGTACTTATTTGACATGGCTTTAGTTGTCTAATAAACCATATTAAGATACCACATTTTTATTGAATGAAACAAAACAGCAAGAGAGAATTTATGTGAATTTAAATGTATAAGAAGCTATGCAAAGCAAGCAGTGCACTATCAACAGAATGTTTGATTTTAGAACAAGGGCATGCGGTTGTGTTTGATTGCTTAAACATAATTCAATAATACTCTGCACTGCTCTGTGGAGGATCTGAATTCAGAACATTCAGCACATTCCTCCTATTGATATCTGCACCAGCGATCTAAGCCAAAATACACACAGATGAGTTGGTTATATTTTCTTTGTGCAACATCACAAGTTGATAGCATTGGCCAAAGCAAAAGAACCGCAATCTGATCTGAAATGTATATCTGATATAACAAATTATTGGTAGAAAGGATTCTAAGTGAACTACATTTGGGTTGTAAATTTGCAAAATGTAATAATTAAAAATCTTCAATAGATTGCCTCCAATACAAGCTGAAAATCCAGTGTCATTATAATTAAGTGTTAGAATGAATGTAGCACGATACCTGGGCTCTCAGATTCACGTTTGCTCAAAGTACGGCATTAACACTAACAGAGCAGCTTCGGAAAGATGAGGAGAGCAGACACACAAATGCCTGTTTTTCTCAGGCATTTGCAGAACACTTTCCTAATAAACCTATTGGTGGACAAAACCTGGTGTGAATTAAAAACCCAAAACCAAAATAAACCCATCCTGTAAGCCAAATGCCACATGTATTTTGAAAATTTTATGGAGTTAAAGTTATTTGTGTTCAATTAGTAAGCCACACTTAACTGCAGGTTTAAAAAATCCTCATTCAGAAGTTGAATTGTCAGAAGGTTTTGCCAGTGAAATTGCACTCGTCCTTTTTTTTTTTGCTTCTTTCCAAAAGATGGCCGTGATTTATTTAATTACATGACCTACTGATTCAGCAGACATGTCCAGCTCCATCACTAATATCAGGTCATTTACATTTTCAGTTTCTGCATGAAACTGAAAAAGTGGCAAGCAATACCAGGAAAGCTGAAAGCTACTCAAAAACTACCTGCAAATAAACTCCCATCTCTTACTGCTGAGCACTTTCCTGTTCAGACAGGAATTAAAAGTGTCATTTCTATTACATAATATCATAAATAAAAGATAGCTCTTACCTCCACTTAGTATAATGACAGCTATAAATATTGCCAGGTCACTGTCATCTAATTCCAGTGCATTGAACTTCACAGCAAACTCAAACTTGGGCTCCATAAAGTCACAAAAAGGTTTTCTCAGGCTCTTCAGAAACTCCCGTGTCATGAATCCTTGTCCATCAGATATAAGAACTCCATCTTTATTCATCAGAGAAGCCAGGAGAGTATATATGATCTCATGGACACCATATTTCAGGAGAGTTACCTGATCATTCAGGTCAAGATTCACAAAACCTGGAATGTTCTTTGCAAACTCCGTAATCTCCTGCACTGCTTCCACAGAGCGAAACTGACATCGCTGGAAAATGCGAATTGCTACTTCTTTGTTCTGCTCCTGCAGTGGTGATACATGCTTACACTTGATCTGGTCTTCTCCCATCCGTAAAGAGTTCATGTCATAAATAACAAATGGCTAAAAATGAAAGGAGAACACAGGTTACTTGCATGTCTTTTATATGAACATTTGGCTCTTGAGAAATTGGAGTAACATACTGAGGAATAACTCATCAGAAAACACTTAGAAATACCTGGGCAGTGCATCAGGAGTAGTCACTTTTGGGTTAAATCTTTATATTCCTATTAAAGCAAACGTTCTCATAATGTTAAAATGATATACAGAAAGGATAAGTAATTCTTACGGACTTATCGTGTTCTGTAAATCAACATGTTAAAAATAGGACTTTGGGTGACACTTTTCTTATCTGGAGGAGTGGGAGGTAAAGGAGGTAACAACATTTACAATATTCATGATTTTTTGCCCTGTTTTTTTTTTTTTTTTTTTTCCTCCCATTTTACAGAAGTTCTGTAACACTATAATTCAAAGCTCCAAATACCCATTCACACAAAATGAAAATGTTACTCCCCCTACCTGAATTTTACTGCTTTATACCAAATCTAACTAGTAAGTGTTTAGCAAAATGTCTGCACTTCTGATGATACAGTTTATTTTTGTGGAGAGACACTATATTCCCACTTTAAATACTTCACATGCTGTTAGATTCTTTTTATGGTTATAGAAGGATAAAACTTGAAGCACTGAACTTGAATACAGAATTAATGGCATTAGTTATCTAATAAACTTAACCTTTTGCTGTTAACTACTTTAAAAATCACAAGGTTAGGATGTAACTAAGCTTAAAAATAATTGTCAGTGGGGGAAGAAAACACAAATAACATGACACAATCTGCAACAGCACAATTCAGAACACAAGAATGAGTCTGACTGGGAAATAAATTTATTTGGAATAAATCAATTTTGAAAAATTAAGAATTTTGAAAATGAAGATTAAAAAAAGTAATGCCAAGAAAACTTTTGTTAGGATCTGGAAACAGTTTGTTTCAGAATATAGAGGTATCCTCTGATTTTAAATAAGTGGTTAATTGAGGATTTCTTGAAATTGCCTGAAGAATCTTTCCTTAGAGGACTAATGATTAAATGGTTCATGCTGCACTGAACAAACATCTGATATTAACAGCTTTGTTAACATGCCTAATTAAAATGCAAGGAATTACAAAACTGGACTAGAGACTTGTTGTTTAATTTAAGATCCTTCATCATCACTGATTTTAATGCCTTATTCATGTGAGCGCTCATTCTTTTTTATATTCACTTCAAGCTGCAGAAGAGATTTAAAAAATAACCCACACCATTCTATACACAGTCAGCAGTACCCTCTCAGAACTGCAGGAGTTTCCATTAACTAATTCTATTTCAAATTCATTAAATCAGTTTTTAAGTCTATTCAGAGCTAAATTGTTATGGAATTTTTATAACTGCAAATAGCTACTCTCTTTTGAGTGTGCATGATACTGCCCAAAGATGCTTACTACTACCCACCAGCAGTTAGAGTTTACTACTCCCACAGTTCTGCAGACAGAGGCTGTGAAAGTGGTCAGTCATTTGAACACAGAACTCCACCACACTTTCTCTAGGAAGAGAAGGAGGGGTGATATATGTCACAGTTTTGTGTTTTAGCTCAATCATTATGCTGGCTTTTTTTTTTTTTTTTGCCATGATACCCACTTAGCAGAGGAATTTCTTGTGCCTGATGAATGCCCATCTGTGGCTGATCTTTCTTCCCTCCTTTTTCATCTGCCTATTGCACATATAATCACTATGGCACAATATGAAGCTTATGATGAACAAGGAGTAGTACAAGTGTACAATACAGAAAGAAGGAGGATGAAGGGCAGTTAACAAGATATACAATTATGTGCACCACTTGCAGTATGTTTCCTATTCCAAAAACATAGAGAATGCAAATAAATTAAACTGCTATGTTAATTCTTTTCCAGTAATCTCTGTTTCTGATAAAGAGAGGGAAGCAGTGGAAAGACTCTGAAAAAGTAATGATCATCAAGTAGACTTAGCATATCAGCTTTCTGCAGGATAAATAAATGACAATAGTTCAAACTTCATACACTCCATAATGATCAGTTACTCAAACTGAAAATGTCTGCTATAGCTAAAGTGGATTTTTTTTTTTTTTTGGCTGCAACCAAACTAGAAACTACATTCAAATTATGATTCCAGAAGTCCTTAGAAGGACAAAATGAAATACCTTTTCCTATCTTTGAAATTTGTGAAGAAAATTAAATAGAGTCTGTTGAAACCCTGGCAATAAAATTTCTGCTATTCGCTTTAGAAAATACATCAAACTAAGAGTTACTAGTTTGGGAAATGTCATTTTGATCTTTAGTTACCACAATAGTGATAAAATTGAAAAAAAAAAAAATCTACCACAATCATCAGATCTTATTCATCCTTCTTCCCACTGACAAAAGGCTGTTAAATACTGACAGTGAAGTTTCCAAAGGAACCCATAAATTTTCTCTATGTCAATGATTTTTGTGTGCATTCTCCTAAAATTCAACTTGCACTAGCACAGAATACCGATCCATGATCATCTACTTAAATACAGGAAGTCATCGGAGTATCATAAGAATAAACATTATAGTTAGAGCCCAGGATGCTATTCGCATTGTGAATCACTTGACACTTCTAAGAAAGAATATTGCCAGCAGTGATAATATTCTATGATAACATGCTACAATATGGATGCTTGAATAGTGTAGCAACCAATTGCTGACAGCTAGATAGCCACTTAAAACAGATAGCGTGGAAGATAACCTCTGATAAAGGAGAAGAAAAACGGGAAGAATGGATCAGAGAATACAAAAAGGTTAAGATGACCTTCAAATTCTTGTACCGGTTTCAAGTATTTTATTAGGTGGACTTGGAGTTTTTTCAAATGATGTTTACTTATCCTATCTAAAAACATTTCCTGTGTTTCAGACTCAGCTTGAAACATGCAACTGCCAACAGCAAAGTTTTTTTGTTTTTTTTTTGTTTTTCTTTTTAAAGATGTGTTGTCAATGTGGTAAATCATTTACTCAAAAGGAAAAAAAAAAGAAAACAGAGGGAACTAACTGATTTGTCTGTCGTCTTTCCTGTCAAGATCGCCCTTGCCTTGGCTTTGGTCAGAGGGAAGGACTTTATGTATGAGTCATACAAATGCTTGGCAAGCGCTCGCAGATCAGCAGATTCAGGATTTAACTGGTCGATGTCGCTGGAAATCTCTGCCAAGAGCTTCTCCTTCTCCGCCTGTGGCATTCGCCCAAACCTGATGGCTGAAGAAGATGACAAGTAATTACCATAGCTACAGTTGCACCCACAAATGGATATTTTTATTTTTCTGTCACCTTTTATTATAAGTTACTCAATTTTTTTCTTAAAACAATACATAGACAAAAAAGAGGAAGACTTTTCTCTCCAATAATATAGGCAAATACTAAAGTGCTTCAAAGATAGGTAAACAAACCAATCTCAAAAGGAAAATAACACGTGCCCAAATAGTTCTATTTCAATATCATGCTCTGATACGCAAGAATTATTGCCAGTCCATTGGACAGTCTGAGTTAGAGAAAACCACTGATTCTACTGACAACCTAAATCAAATATAAGGAGTCTTTAAGATATTAAAATTCAGTTTATTCAGGATAGGAACTACTGTTCAGCTTTGGATTGTTTTGGGCAAATCACTACACAGATCTCAGGTTCTTCATTTAGAAACAAAACACTCACATGCCTTGCAGGAATGAATTCCTAAATAGTTCAACTGAGCTTAATGTATCAAGTGATTTAAAATATTACCAAAATAGTTAAAGAATGAGAAAAAAATAAGTACAGGGAATAAAAATTACGAAAAGCCTGAGTTCTTCATCACAACTGTATGTGATTGTTATACTGTAAGAACAGCAAAGGGTTCCACTAGTCGTATGATCTCAATTCCTTTACATATCTGTAGGGTTGGCTGTAAACCTCTCAGTTTTACCTCTATGTACTTAATAGTCAAGTCACTGTTTATACTTACAGAGATGGGCTTAGAAAATAGTTCAAATGAACCATCAAGATCAAGACTGATTTATCATATGGTATTTCAGTAAACAGGACTTATTTTACAGTAAAAAACAAACAAACAAAAAAAACAGAGCATCAAAACAACGACAAAGAAAAAAAAACAGAAGGAAGAAATAAAGGTTTGCATTTTTAGCTGCAGGAGGAAAGAGAAATATTATTAATATTTTTTCAATGCTTAATGCCTTCCCTAGATAAGAACAAGTTGTTCCTAAGGTCATGCACACCATTACACTAGGGATGTTTATTTTGGAAATTGTCAGCTACTTTCCTGCTTGCAGGATGCTTGCAGTGTGTTGATGAAAAAAAGGATACCTTTTCCAATAATAAATAATTATATTTAAAACATAGCATTTACTGTACTTATGGATCAGTTCTTTTATATCAGTGTTTTTTTTCTGTTTGTTTTTTACTACTCTACTTTCTCTTCCAGTAAACTTGGTCTCTGAGTGATGCAAGCTGTATGTTTCATTTCTGGGGGTATTCTTATTGCTTATTTATGAGAATGAAAATTGGTCTGAAACAAAACTTAGTCCAGTAGGACCAAATTAACAGTGATTTATTTTTTTCCTGTAAATATCTGTTGCTTATTGCTTTTTATGAGGGAAATTTTGAATGATCGCCAACTGATATTTGTTTTAGATCGTATCTACCACTGCACTTTTTCCTCTCCTCTAAGGAATACTGAGCACTCTTAATCAGCTACTAACAATAGTTTTCAGTGAGACATCACTGCCAGTCCACCTCGATGCTAACAGTAAACCATTTACAGAAAATGATGAACTTCTTTAAGTGACATTCTAGAACGGCTCAAAAGCCCTGATAAATCTTTTGAGGTCTTTTCCAACTTAGATAATTCCACGATTCAGATTGGACCACTCTTCAAACGTGTATTTGGAACAGCTTCATCAATAGAAAAGCCTCAATACTTTGATGCTTCTGATTGGTTTACTGGCAATAGATTCAGCTCCTCGTAGCTGTCTTTTTAAGAAGAACTTGCTAACTAATGCCTTCAGTGAAGTCTAGCAAGAATTGTTGGACTATTACAGTGAACTTTTAATGTGGAAAGTGAAGCAAGGCAAATATTAGCCTCATATAAAGGACTGTTAATTAAAAAAAAAAAGAGATGAATTGCTTATGTCTGTAAAATGCTCATCACTCCCTGAAATATGTTGAGTGTGACCTGAGGACTTCTTAATACACAACAAACACTTAACAACTCTAAAAAAAAAAAAAAAACAAACCAAAAAAAAGAAACATGTCCTTTGAAAGACTTCATAATTCTACCAGGAGCTAGGTGCTTTTGGCTAGAAAAGTATTTTGTTATAATAAACTATGATAGACTGTTCTGAAATTTTACATGAAATAAGCTTACAGCATCATATATAATACCTTTACGTTTATAATAAATCATGCATACTTAACAGTCTGATATGAATTCTATAAACTCACACTGTAAGCATAGTAACTCTTAAAATACTACACAAATGGAGCTTGACTAAATAGTACGAAACATGATTCTGGTGTAACATGATTCTGTTCTGGAAATTCAGGGTTTGCAGAAGCTCAGAATCTAGAATCTCCCTGGCAAGGTCCCCTTTCACCGCAGTTACTTTGTACAAATAAGGGAATAAAACAAGGGATTAAAAAAAAAAAAAAAAAAAAAAAAAAAAAAAAAAGATGGTATATTGCTTCCCCTTCCTATGATTTAATATTAACTTAGCTCTAAAATAATTTTTATACTTCCCCAAGGCATTGAAAACAATAGGTTTTTTTTTTTCCCCCCCACCTTCTTCTTTCCTCCTCTTTTAATTAAAAGAGTTAAATCCTTACTAGAAAATTCTTGATGATATAGCATAGTGTATCCACCAACTGTGGCACTGATTACTGAAATAGTGCTGTTAGAGATTTTACTGAAATGATTGAGGATTTTCAAACTAGATGCTGTTTTGTTATTAGAGAATAACGAAGATGTATACTTGTATTCTTTTCAAGAATAAGGACTGGTAACAAACATCTTGCTGGAAATTCAGACATAGGCTAGCAACTTTTTTTCCCTAAGTACGTATCTATGTTTTCAAAATTTGGGGGTGGGAGGGTGGTAGGTAGTTTCTTTTTTTAAAATCTTATGGCAATTTTCCACATAACTGTATCTATCTACTGTTGCACAGATACTGTAGCAAGAAACAGGCTTACTATGAGTTTTGAGTATCAAAGGACAGCATAGTATGTTTACTGTGATTTTCTACATATGCCCCTTACCATATAACCTGAATTCTGTGTGTAGTTTTATCTTGCCTCTTGGAAAGTCAATTACAGTTATTCATGCTAGCAAGTTGATATTACTAAATAGCAAATTGTTGGTAATTATCCATTAAAACTTTACAATAACAGAATTATAATAAAAGACAACTTACAATGGATTTATTTTCCTTACAGAAAATTAACTTAGGGTGTTCTAGAATGATGCACTCATCCATGACCAACAAAGGGCAACAAATTACCTTTGAATAGTATGTGCGATGAGCCCTAGTGCTAATATAAAATTATTTCGGTTAATTTACAGATTAATTTGGAGTTTGTCATACATTTGTATACTCTTAATAGTTCTAGGCAGATGTCCTCTTTAATTTAACATTTATTCTTATTTGCCTTGTGATGATGATACTTACTTGCATAGGAAATGCTTAGAGATCTCAATATGAAAAGTGCTATAAAAACTAATTATCTTTTTCTTGCTATGCTGTTTTTTTCCCAATACTGTTCCTTGTTGGAATCATACCTAATTTTTCGTTTTCACATGTCTAATTTTTACATATGCAGGTAAAAAGCCCAGTAAATTTCATTGGTATTAGATAACTCACACATTCATGCATAATCTATTTTGGAGTTCAATCTCACTGACACAGTGGAGAACTATCAATTGATACATGAAAAAAGCTGCATATAAATTTGGCATGTATTTTTAAGGAATATTTGACATAGGTTTAGCATACAGCATCATGATGCCAACTTGCCTAAAATACCAGATTCATCTCTTCTCTATAAAAAGAAAAAAAGAGCATTTTAAGTTCATTTTGCTAAAATGTCAGGATTGCTTTGGAAGAAAATTAGCACATACTGCAGAACGGTGAACTATGTTCTAAGCATTAGCTTCTATTCTTGAATGTCTGAATGCTGCATTCAGATACAACAAAGCTTATACATGCTATTGAAAGCTATTATGTCAAATGTTAAATCAATCTAAACTACTCCTTATTGTGGTTTCTTATTTTTTAAATAGCAAATAAAAATGGTAGAGGGAGACTATCTCATCCGTTGTTGCTTTAACAACCCACTTAGCAGCACTATCCATCAGTTCAACAAAACAGCCACTAAAATCAGTAGAGCTGACATTCAACTGATAGAATCAAGTCTTTTCAAATAGTGAATTTACTTCCCCTAGAAGATAACAGGCTTTTACAGCGTTCCACACTAATTCATCTTTAGGGTCTAGCTTAATGCTTGTCATCATATCAGACTTTCACATAATAAAATTCACCAATAATTAAATACCTCAGGAATAACTCATACTTTGTTGTGTTTAGCATGTGAAAAACAAACTTGGAATAAAGTATGCTATGCAACTTTTAAAAATATGTAGAGATTTTTAGGTGGTGGATTGTATGTTTATTAGCAATCTGTCATTCCTACATTTTTTTCTAAATGTGTATTTTTAAGATTTAATAATAGAAGTGATTCACCTTTAGATGCTGTCCCTGTGTCACAAAAATGATAAAATGTGATAAAATTCATAAATTTTCCTAAACAAGAGGTCACTAGGATCCAAAAGTATATTTTAAATGTAATGATTTGTTAATAACAAAAAGTTAGAAAGTTGTGAATCAAAAATTTCTAACTTATAATTTGACAGGCAAAAATATAGTTTTAAAATATAAGTATGTTCTTTAACATTTAAAGTATATTTTATAAATACTATACTAACTACAGTAGATTGTTCAGTTTTTATTATCATAGCAGGCAAAATCTGGGTCAAAATTCAATTCTGTGGTACTAGCCTAGTAGTTTTGTTTTGGAGAAGTCGTTTTCAGGGGACTGAGATAAAGTCAAGGAGAGGTCAGTGGGTTTACAGAGGGAATGTGGGAAACAGCAGTGGAATTTGGGTTGAGATGAGAAGTAGGAAGGATTGGCAATACTTGTGGAAGTTAAGCAGAAAAAGAGGAGTTCACAGAGTGGGTAAGAGGAGTTCACAGCACTTCTGATTGCTGAGGAAAATTTCAGGGTTCTGTTAGGTGAGTCACAGGACCTTCCCTCTTTACTGCTTTTCCCTCCCTCCTGTGACTGCTTTTACCATCTATTTCTTTACTCCCAGAAGTGATAATAAAGATACATTGTCATGTGTGCTCTCTCAGTACACTGTGTGGCTTGATATAAATAATATCTTTAAATGCCAGAGAAAAAAAAAAAAAAAACAAACCAAACCTAGTAACATTTCTAAAATAAAAGAATGAAACTTCTGCGGAGTGGTATTTCAGAATGCAATCTGAGCAACTGAGGGTTAAACACAGAGCAGCACTGTGGTTAGAGAAGGAAAGGAAAACAATATCCAAAGCATGAGAACACTACTGTCTTTCTTAACCTTCAGCTAAGTGGTATGTAGCATTTATACATGAAAAAATGTGGCTGTTAGCTGCTCAGTGTCTCCTTGCATTTTCCCCCCCCCCTCCCCCCCCAATTTTTTTTAAGTGCCCTAACTATTCATTCTGCAATAATGTGTCTATGCAAAGACAGCCAGAGTGGAACCCTCAGGCAAGGAATCCACATTCTGATTCCAAGCATTTAAAAATCAGATAGTTTCACTATCCAAATTGTCCAACTTGAAGCTGTAAATGTAACATTAGAATCTGTCTCGGTGCCATTCACAACTTTCAGTGTTGTGCTTCTGCACGTTTCTTTATGGAGACTTCTGTCTTCAAAGGCAAATCTTACTTATTTTTTAGATGTGTGTTTGTTTATAAATGATGGAGGAGGAGGGTTCTGCTTCATACGATCTGATGTTACCGGAGCAGGCAAAAAACACAAATGTAGAAGCTAACACTTGAATGTAAGCACTAATAACTCCTCGGTAAGTAAATTCATGGTAAAAGTCAATGAAAGCATTCTTTTAAGCCCTGGGAAAAAATGGCAAACCTATTCCCCTCTCCTGTTCCTCACAACCATGATCTCTGCAGGTGCCAATGCTTCTTCCTTGCTGTGGCTGTCCAAGAAGAATTAGCTGGTGAGAATTGTTCCTGGGCCCTTCGCATTGCTAAGGCAGAGATGATGATCTCAACGTTCCCATTTTTGATGGGGCTGCACATGGTTCACATTGATATAAATGGAAACCATGTTGCTAGTTTATGAGAGAATCTGGCATTCACCTTGAAAAAAAATAATAATAACAGAACAGTCTTGAATCACTATAAAAATACCCACAGTAGCATTTCAAAATTAGTTTTATTTTTAAGAGCTACTGTTGCATCCCAGGGTTGGAAAACCATATTTTCTATTGGCAAAACATTTCCCATCTCTATTTACATTCACTGTGTGCACTAACATCACAAATCACAGTTAAGCCTTCCTCTTGGGGACAGTGCACTCATTTCTGTAATTTTTTTTTAATAGTGAAAATAATGGAAGTTCAAAAAAGCCCAAAAAACAAAAAACCACAAAAATTATTTTCCCAGTCATGTTTGCAATTCTTTACCCTTTGAATTACATAAGTCTCCATGTTATGACATTTAATTCCTGTTTCTACTAAACTTTGCCAATGCAAGGCAGCAAAGAATCTTCATCATTTCTATCTTTCTGTCTAAACATTCATAAGTAAGTATTTCTAAATGAATTGATTTGTTAATTTTAAAATTCAGAGATTTTCTTCTATATTGTATACAAGAGAGCAGCACAGTGATACGCTTAATGCTCACTGCTTTTCCTACTGTAAAGAAGGCAATCACAGAACCATACACGATTGCATACAGCTTTGCAAGCAAAGACTAGAACATATACAAAATGGAAATGCTGCTTACAGTTTACAGATGGGAGAGGATGTTTACCCTCTGGATGATGGGAGGTCAGACAATGTATAGTACAAAGGAATAACAGCTATACACACTATATGATGAGAGGCCAAGAGCTGAATGAGCATGCTAAGAAACACTATACTCCTACTTACCACACATTGGAATCTATGCCCAGATGTGGGTATCCTACGGGAGGAGGAGGACAGTTGTTTTTTTATGGCTTTTTTTTTTTTTTTTTTTTTTTTTAAAACAGTACAGCATATGGCCCATTTGTTCAAAGTATGTTGTGTTCCAACATAAGGAAAAGTGAACTCAGCAATGCTGACTGCCCTGGATAAGCATCTTGTGCATCAAATTTAAGGTGCTGTTATTCACAAACTTTTGATAAACTTTCTACTCCATACTTCATAACTAAGTTCAGTTTTCAAAGGGGTACTGAGCTATGGTATGGAATATGCCTTACCAGCTTGACCATGAGCTGAAAAAAAAGATTACATTAGGAATATGTGAAATGAGCAAGAATGACAGAGAGAAAAATCAACACACTGGTTATATTGTGTATACAGTGACAAGTGCAAATCTTTACCTATCTGATTCTTATGTTAATTAATCTCCAATTGTTTACATACTCTCCTAAACACATGGGCAGTCTCTCTGATACCTATTTCTACAGTGTCTGGTATAAAGAAACAGAAGGCTCAAAACATCAGAGCATCAAACTCAGTAAACAGATACATGCTTCATGTTATTTTTGAAAACAAACACTACTGTTTTATAATATGCTGTATATACTTACCATTATGTGACATTCCAACTGCAAGACATTTCTGAAATCTGCAGTATTGACATTTATTTCTGCTTTTCTTATGGATGCGACAATTAAGATCACACCTGTCATAAATAAGTTTTAATCTGATTGTTCTTCGAAAAAAGCCCTGTAACAAACATAAAAACGTAAAAGGACAGATTAAACACTGACAGCGTCACTGTCTCAATTCTGTATAGGCATACAAAGCACATTTCTGCATGCACACTGAGTCTAAATTCGTATTAGACAGATTTCTGAAGAAAGCAATGCTCGTGTGTTCATATCTGCATAGCAGCATGCTCCCATTCTAAACTTATCAGCCATTTTCAGCCCAGCTTGACATGGGTAATAGTCTAGAAAATAAAAATCTATGAAAACTAACGGGAATGAATAGGGTTGAAAGGATGGCATTATCACAAACTGACAATCCTACAGAAACAGTGAGACCGAAGAAGAGAAGTCCTTTTAGGGCTCATGGGAGAAGTGGCTATTCTATTTCTTTTTGTTGGCACCGTGCTACCCTAATTTTGCAATGTGTATTTCTGGGTTCTATCTTCAAGATTTTATTTTCTAGTTTGTTCCTGTTGTTTGGATCTTACAAGTTTGCAAAGTACACAGGCATGTGAATAAAACCAGAAACTTGATACCAAAGTCATGGTAATTATTAAACAGAAATCTTACGAGGTCTTACAAGGATGGATATCATTATGGAAATTCACAGTTCTGTCTTTTGATAATCTAAAAGTACTTTCTGAAATCAATAATAAGTGATGAATAAAGATTATCTGAATTTGTCCTCAGTTCATTGTAACAGTGTCCTCACAGAATAAATACAACAATAAAAGCATAATATTGATTCATGTGCATATGGTTTGCTGTAATGTAAACAAATCAACAACACACTCACTGCTTTATATATATTCCTAATTCAGCGCTCAAAATTTTAGTTCAGGTCTGCACTGGGTTTTTACTATCACTTCAATATCCTCAGGATTATTGAAAATAGCAACAACCTGAATTTAAAATGTGTATTTTTAATTTTTTTTAACTCAATGAATTTAATGTAATTTCTTTCTCTGGTTCTTATCTTCTCATTCTTGAGGACAATCAATTTTCACTTTCCTTTATTTATTATAGACACTAAAAACCATCAAAAGAAGTCAGTGGTGTTTTAAAGTGGATAGCCACATTCTCTAATTTCATTAGACTATTCTCTAGTCACCTAGAATGTGTAAATTGGGTAAAGGAACTCTAATGAGTCTTAACAATAGAGTTTGAATTTTAAATTGCTTAGAGTATTGAGGTTTGAAATTCAGAATAAGCCTGCTTTATGAATTCAAATTCATGGAGATCCAGTGATCTCCAAGACAGCAAGAAAGGAACACAACTCTATAATTAACAAAAGTAGAAGTGCACAAAGATTTTAAATAGATCAGTAACATAAGTGACAAAAACAAACATGTTAAGACTTCCACTTACTACAGTATATGTAGTGTGTATGAAACAATTTAAAAGACTTCAAACTTATTTAAATGAAAATAGTATTAAATCTTCAGAGAAAACACATTTGTGACAACTTACCTTACAACCTTCACATGCATGCACTCCATAATGAAATCCAGAGGCCTTGTCCCCACACACACGACATTCAATAGCCATAAATGAGTTGGAAGACTCCTCATGTGGTTTATTGTATAACTGCACTTTTTCAGAAAAATAGGGTGGAGAAGGAGGCTCCATTTTGATTGCACCTGCATATAGAGAAGATTTAAATGAATAATTCAAAGTGTGATTAAATATATGGTAGAAGAAGCAGCAAGGAAGAATCAGAAACAATCACAGTAAACACAGCCAGATTCATAGGTATGCTTTGTAATACAAAATGATGGTAGTAAACAAAGGAAATGGAAGTTGTATGCAGCTATTTCACTCATAGTGTGTAAGCTGAAAGCCTTGAAGAGGCATATGGCAATCATATCACAAATTCACTTTCCAGCTTTGTAGTGCAGAACAATTTTACTATAGATGTGTAAAATTTGCACATGAAGACCTCATACTCAAGTTGTCTTACTCCTTTTCTCAGTACCTAATTAGGTTACTTAAGGTGTTCAGAACTACTGCAGAGAGAAGAACTGGACACTCTAATCTCATGAAAAAACACCTATGCAATAAACACACAGTGAATAATTTATATATTTAATGAAATTTATCTCCCTCCTAGGATGCAGACTAGAGATGAATCTTCCCAACATTTCTAATTATTGTGAAAGCACTTTGTAATATTGATAAGCTCAAACAACCAAATATGATATATTTAAATCAATCACAGCTGGTCAAAGAAGAAAGCTGGGACAATTGACACCATAACATTACATCAAATCACACTTCAGGAATTACATGACAGATGCAGTATTACCATAACATGAATGTTTTGTTTTCTGTTTGGCTACACTACATAAACTGGGAAGTTTTCTTTTCTACAGAAACCAGAGGAAAAAAGGAAGAGGAAAGTTAGCTGACTAAGACCGTGAGCATTTAGCATGCCTAATGATTTAGCTAATCAACTCTCTTGTTTGTTATGAAAATACCACGGGATTTTCTAATCAAGCAAAAGAGAAATAAATTATTAGCAGTACAAGTGTATTTTAATTCACTTCGTAAATAACTCAGAGAGAACCAGGTACTGGGTACTTCTATTACCAAAACTAAATAGTATAATCCTCCTAGCCAGAATTTCATGAACGATTCCTACAAAAGTGATGTCAGATTTAAATAGACTCAGTGGATCTTTAAAAAAGTTCCAGACACAGCAATCTGACTTCTTACTATGAGTAGGAATGCAATAGCAACTTTTATTTCAGAGTAGACTACTTTTCTTTTTTTCCTGTAAAGAAGAATTCTGTGTACTATCTTTACATAACTGGGGAAAGATGCTGGTGTTTTGTACTATATAAAAAAATACTATGTCACAAATCTTTGAGGTTATGTGTGCATTAGGAAGACTGATAAAAGTTTTACAAACTCAGTAGCAGCCAATATTTCCATTTCATCAGCTTCTTAGCCTGTTGCTCAATTTATTATTAATTAATATGTTACATATGCTGGGAGTTACTATATGACAACTTGTCTAGTCACTAGAGGCTACTCTAGAAGAGTGAAGGTTGCCCTATCATAATATCACATGAATATCTGCTGATTTTTGGATTTACAATCTGTGCATTTAGGCATCTGAATCCATCCAATTGCTGGTGGTACAATTTCTAGAGAATGAAGCAAATGTGAGCACAAAGAAATATAGAAAAATAAAAAACGTACTTTGGCAATCCTGGAGCTTGATGTCATATTTATAATCAATGCTTGTTTGATCAGCTCTTCCAAGAGGTATATCTTCATAGTGTGGAGAAGAAATGCTTGAAAAATCAACAGTGGTAAATGGCTTTATGTCAAAGGAATGCATATGATCATCCATCGCAGACAGATCCACTGGGCTAATTCCAAAATTAACGGGCCAAAACGGCATTTCTGTGTCAACCATTGTAATCTCTGAAAACAAAAAAGAAACAGGCTTTTTAAAGATGCTAGTTATTTCTGTAATGTGTTTGAGCCCAAGTGAGGCCTAATTGCCTAGTGCCCAAAGGGCCAAGATGCAAATCAACATTCGGGTGTAGGCTTTAGGGGAAAGTCTTGTCTCCCTTCATCATTTGGCTTGAGTTTTTCACCATAGTCTAGGAGTATTGCACGGATAATACTGAACAGCTAATACAGCTTTGAGGTACTTCCTACACAGGCCCTAACGTCATACACATCATAAAACAAATGACATTTTGTTGGCATCCAGTGCTCAGGTTAGCCTTGGAACAGAATAGCAAGTCATAGGTGTGCTACTAGAATGACCTGATCCATACTTCGAAAGGCAGCAGAGACAATTAGAGAATTCACGGAATAATAGAGCAGTCAAGTGAATAACTGGCAAAAAATACATGAGGAAAAAAATCGTGAGTGTTCAGGTGAAACACAAATTCATTTTTATAGATCATTTTGTGGAACACGAGTGTTCTTTAGTAGGCACGCAAGTCATTAAAAAAAAATCAATTATGTGAAATTAAAGTACGCTGGAAACAAACTGCTCACCATTTTTACAGAGATCGATCACACTGACCTTAACTGCATCTCACAATAACATCTAAATACTAAAGTTTTTTTTTTTTTTTTTATATCAAGAAAAAAAAATTGTAGTTGGTATTAAATAATTATAGTTTTACTGTGAAACCCTTAGTTGGTCAAGTACATCAAAACTTTTATACCAGAATCTTAAATGCAAGGCTCAAGGAAAATTACTCTGTAACTTCTTAAATCCCATATATGTTTATGCAGAACCTGAGAGCCATAAACAAAAAGCTTCAACCTGTGAAAATCTTTGGCAAATTGAATAAATTTAGATTGAGTTATAAAATGTTATCTGAGTCAGATGCTTATCTGACAGGCAGATCAACCAAAAATCATTGATTTAAACATATTTCAACTATGAAAAAATTCATATTCCTCAAACTGATTCGTAAGAAGCATTCATATTCAGTTTTTTATGATTCATAAGAAGGACATTTAATCTAAAAATAGGATACAGATTATGGAACTAAAATAACTTGGTCACTTTGGCTGTTTAATTTTGACTTCAGATCCATCAAGTAAATAGCTTTTAACATTTAGATGACAGAAACTTATTTGATTTGCTCTATTTGGAATTAGTCAAAACTACTCTGCAACAGTTCCAAAACCGTTATGAAATGAATGTAATGGAAGAGACCTGCTCTGTTCCTTTGAGATGATCCTTTGTTTTGACAGGGAGATAAGTAGGTACAACAGTGACCATCCTCCCCTATCAACTGTGCTGAAGTGCCAAGATGGTAATGGCCAGACATGCTTGTGGTTCTCTTATTCTTTCCTCAGGAAAGCCACCATAATTCTTCCTCCTCTTAGGGCTCACAGCACAACCTTGAACACTGACATCAGTGGCTGGAAATTCAGGTAAGACTACTCTGCAGTGAGAACCCAAGTGTTCCTGCTGTAGCACATGCTCCACATCACACACATTGTCCCTCACAGAACAGGAGGGCAACCCACAGTTCCTTCACACTGCTATCACTACGTGCCTGATAAAGTAGAGTTCTGTAAAGCAAACAGTGTTTAATGGTGAACTTCTGGCTAGGTTACTCTAACAGTCAGCTAACTATCTACCTCTCCGAAGCCAGTAGATAGGATATACAGATTTACATGCTAACCTTAATGAAATAAGGATAAAGACTGAACTCCACTCCTTCCGGAGGTTAACATCCTATGGTAAGTAAATACCATTTCTTCAGACGATTAAAAATGGTTTTGTTAAATGATTTTACTACAAAAAATGCATACTTTTCATTTTTTGTAAGATAGACAAAATTAAAAACCTTCATGTTGTCTAAGATGGCCACTTGCATACCTCATAATTGCACCATGCATACATGAAAATACATATACATACACACACAATTGTGTAAATCTGAAGATTTCATTGAACAGATGAGTCTAGCATGCTAAAATGACTGACATAAGTAGGATTTAATTAACACAGATTTGCATGTACATTAACTGCTTTTCTTCCACTCAAAACTATTAACCTTAGCTATGTAAATCTCTATTTGTTTACTTCTGGATCACAATGCACATAATATATAATTTCTTTGTACAGCAAAACAGTAAGGCACTAATGACCCCCAAACCAATAATATTCATAAACATTTCAGAATTATAAGAAGTTTTGGATATAAAATCAGACCATTTCAGCACAGATTTGAAGTTCTAATCTTCTTCACATATGACTGGTCTTAGCTGAATCATAAATATCCTGCTAAATTTAATACAATTCACCACCTCAGTGGAAGAAAATGAGCTTTTCCAATATTGTCTGATTTGTATTATAAATATTAGAGGAATGAAAAGATACGTGCCGATTTTATTCTTACGTTACTGCAAACTGAAACGTTAAGCTGTTCCTGTGTTTAATAGTTTGTTTTCAAAATATTTCTCATTTGTATGGAACTTTACCTAACTTCTGTTGTATATCTTCTTTTTCTTCCCCTTGAAAAGGTGAATGCCAACATTTTCCTTCGCAACATAATGTTCAATTGGTATCCTCAAACAACAAAAACCAAACATCCAAGCATAAGTCCCATCTTAGTTAGTTAGTCCCAACAAACTTATGAAGAACTCCATAAAATTCACAGATGCCCATGTGAAATCCAGGTAATCAAAACATTAAGTTGGATTAAAAGATTTCCATGTGTAAAAAAATCATCCTCAGCCAAGAGAAGATTGTGCAGAAAACAAGCAGGGATGTCACTCACATAAAGCCAAAGAATATGATTTAATATTTCATCAAGAAAAAAAAAAACAACCACAGACTGAAAGAAAATGCTGTTGAGGTAACTTTAAGAACTGAGAGATGATTCTAGTTGCTATAACTCCCATCATATGCACTTAATCTCACACAACCAACAGGTAACTACTGTCTATAAGGAAGTAAAAGAAGGCACGTGACCTTAGCTAGTAATTGTATAAACCATCAGCCACTATGTTAGCTTAGCCTTATCAGAGTGCTGTGAGAACTGTGTCACTCAGTAGACATTTCAAGCTGAACTGATTTCCAATTCATAAGGAAACTCTTCAGTGCATTTTTTTAATAGAAAAGCACAGAATACAGTGTCAGAGACCATCACGGTATGAAAAGCATCCTGGATCACAGCCTTCTCTTTGCCATAAGGACTACCTGTGCTCAGTTAACCTGAAAGGCCTGTTGCTCTGCATTCTAGGCACGCTTTTTCCAGATTAAAGTACCAAAATGTGACCCTCTAGGTATTCAGTGAAACAAACAAAACATCCTAGTGTAACACGAGATGCAGAAAATCAAGAACAACAAAAAAGAGAAAAGCTGCTGCATCTCAGCTTTGAGCTAAAATCAAGACAATGGCATAATAATACTATAGGCCCAAAGTAAATATGAACATATACAATAATTAACGCTACGTGTATAAGGTTTGCGGTTTTTTCTTAAGTTAAATACACATTTCATGCTATAGTTTGAATTTCATCTCTGATATAAATGTCTCATAGAGTTTATCAAATAAATTAATATGCAGGTTCTGCTGAATGTGATGAGAACCTTGCTAATTAATTTAATTAGAGCAGGTGCAGACCATCTCTGAATTAACTTCATGTATGAATTGGTCAAGATCATAAAACCATTCCGAACTTTTAAGAAAAAATAGAGATAGTGAAGGATCAGCTTCATATCCCTGTATGTTTAATTTATCTACATAACAGTGACATGCTTTGTGTATACCTCAAAATAAACGAACCCTAAACGATGGTGTCACATCCACTTAATTAGAGAACTTCATTAATGTCTTGTGAAGGAATTGCTGTGATGGACTGTAAGAAGAATAAGGACCATCCTGCAATAAAGGAATCACATTTCCCTTTCAATAACTCAGTTTTTTCATTGCCTCTGACACAGAAATCCTATTGGCAATGCATAAATAGATTAAACCAACATTTTGATCAGCGCTGTTTTCAGGTCCTAAATAGGAGGCATATGGTCTGATTTTGTGATACACTGTGTTTGAAAAGTAACTTACCAATGTTTCTGGAAGGTGTAAATAGGCATGAATTCTATTAAGAGACAGATTAAAAAGAGATAGCCTTTTATTAATTTTTCTTCTGGTTATTTAGTGAAAACTTGCATCATCTTACTATACCTGATTTGTCCTGGAGAGTAAAAGTTACTACTCCATGCTCTCTGTCTCAGTTCTCTACATGTTCAGAGAAAGCATGATGTTATTTTATTTCTCACCTCGTATGTTTATTCAAACTGTAGTTTCTTTCAGTAGGGATTGCATTGCTCTATACATTTTTTATATCCATGATTATGTCTAAGTGCGATCAGGCTTTAACCTCTTTACTCATGAAAACAATATATTTGTCATTTAAAGTATCTGTCTGTATAGTGGACTTTACCTAATAAGAAAATCTGCATAAAACAAAGGCACTATTTATCCAAATAGTTTTAGATAAGCCAAAACATGTCAATTTTTTTCTATATTGTAAAGAATAACTTAACGCTCTTGGACAGATTCCATTTAATTCATTAAAACAACGATGCTGGTGTGATCTCCAGGTTCTCAAATCCAGCAAACCACTCCATAGTGTAGGACCTGAACTCCTTTGTGTTCTGTTGCTGCAGAGTCAGCAGAGGGAGCACAACATAACTAAAAAAGCTTTTTCCAAGAACTCTGCTGACACAATCGGTGACATTCTTAAAACAAACAAACAAGCAAAAAAGTCCATGAAAAGAGCCATGTTGGCTGATACAAACAATTCAGTATTTGACAAAATCCCAAAGGACTTTTTGCCAAGCTCAGTAAGCTTGAAATGGCGAAAAACAAACAGCAGCAAAAAGATGTGAGGATTTCCTTTAGAAGTTCCACTGTGAGTCTTGTAATGTTATGATA